ATGGACAGCTCCCGGCAGTGCATTGCTGCATCTGCTGCCCCGCTGTCTGTGGCTGCCTCGCATCGGCACGACTTCGACGGCTGAAGCTGCATCTATTGACCACTCAGCACGAGCCTTAAGCATGGTCAATCATCGGTGTTGCCGTCGGCATCAGGCATGATGGTCTTGCGCCATCGCACGAACAAAAGGCAACGTAGTCAGCACCCCGAGCTGACACGTAAGTGCCTTGGTGCCTCGGCCGAAGAGGTGGTGTTCGTGAGGATTCTCGCACCTTGTCCCTGCGATGGGTTCGTGAAGGTGCACTACAGGTGAAATGTCCCGATGGCACGGAGCAGTTACCCGTGGCCGAAGGGCATTTGTCAGGACTTCCCACTTTCTGCGTTGGCATTGCTGGCAAAGCCCTGAAACCGTCGATGACTTCACCCTGTCAATCCTGATCTGCTGCATGCTCTGTCGCGAAGCAATTCTCTGAGTGTGGTGCAAGGCAATACATTGCTGTATTTGCAGCCCCGCGTGCGGAGGTGTCCGAGTCACGCTCACTTTGGGAATTGCACAATGCAGCGCTGTGGCTTCCCGTCGCCCAGGGTCCTCACATCCAGAGATTCTCCACCTGCATTGCCCCAGCTAATGTGCTGCTGCATCTGCTGACTTCTCGGAAGAATCTATAAGCGTGTTCAACAAAGCTTTGCGTAGCCAGCAGAATCAGCGATGAGTGCCTTGCGCTTTCTTCCTGGCATGAACAAAAGCCATGGAGGCTGTACGGCAAGGCCGTGTTTCAACAACTGCTCATCCTCTCAGCCGTTGCGGTGAGGTACCACTATCACTAGCGATTGCGCATCAGCAGCTCAAGCAATTCACAATAATCTGATCAATTGCTTCTCTTAACTCCTAGAGCCAAGGACAAGTCAAGAAGGCAGCAACATGTTCCGGTCCGAGCGTCTGCCTGCATGCTCGCCTCGAGGCCGGTACTCCCACTGTGGTGGGTTGCTACTGTTTGCGCAGGGCGAGGCGCAAGCGTGACAGACAGATGCCGCTGCTAGATGTCCTGTAGACGTAGCATCGTCCCGATGTTGAGACTGCAGATTCTGCGAAGGCTCGCAAGCAATAATGCCGAAAGCCTACAGCTGGGCGTGATTCGGAACATATGAGAGAAGGCATATACTCAAGGAGTTGCTGGCGGAGAGGTCGAACTAGAAGTGCCCAAATCCGGGATGCACATGCGGGAGGCAAGTTTTCGTCCGTTTCTTGCTGAATAGAGCGCTCAGGCAAGTCACTGGCGAACTTCAACATGTTTCGGTGGGTCGGAGAAAGACTAATGCGACTAAGGACGATGGAAGTGCCTTTCCTTCCTTGGCTTTTGTTTGCAGTCCAACACATTTGTCATCTTTCGCACAGGCATATTGATGCGGCCAGTCGATACGGTAACGGTGGTTCTGGCTAGGCTCTGGTACAAAGTTCCTCTGGTCGGCTGCCCTGTCCAGATGCACGATCATGCACCACGCGATCCTGCTCGAGCTAAGCAGTGCCAGCAATCGCTGAAGCAAGCACGTCCATGTTTGTTATCGGCCTCTGCCGATCTGATGCAACGGAGCCACTATAGAGTAAATTCGCTTGTCCATCATGTGCCTGAATGCTAGCCATGAAATGCCACGAAGCTGGGACTTGCAGTTTTGCGGTGTTCAACTCTTGCACATTGCAGCCCGCGACGTGAAATGAGGTGACGGTGACAGCTAGCTGCTTCTGCTAGATGTCCTAGATGTAGCGTCGTGCCGAGTTGCTCTCCTGCGAGCAGCCGGTTAGACTGTGGATTCCGCAAGGCTCGCAAGCAGTGACACTGACAGTCCGGCAATGGTTGAATCAAGCAAGTCCTTGCTCTTGCTGCCAACAGACCTCCGCCGATCTCATGCAGAGGAATCTCCTGTCCCTTGTGTGCCGTCATGTTCGCCTTAAGTACGACTGCCCGAAGCTGCTGCTAGATGTCCTGGATCTGGTGTCGGCTGGGTGTGCTCTCCAGCGAGGGGGTTGGACATGCACCTACTTGTAGGACTTGCGGCACATTCTGCAAGAGCCTCTGGGTAGTGGCGACTTGGGGTCTCAAGGCCTCAAACGTTGCTGAACGGGACGTGGCACCCAGGATTCCGCATATAAGGGTTCCTTCGGACTGAAGTGCTCATCGCATATTCCAGTTCATGTGTGACAGCTGTCCAACCCAATGCCTCGTCACATTGCGGTGTCGGCCCCTTTGCAAGCAGCAATACCGACGACGGTGAGGCGCGATTCGGAGCGTTGAACGGCCAAGGCAACTCTAGGACCGGGCACGTGCATTGGAGAAGGCAAATTTCGTATCAGATCTCGACACAATCGTTGGCCCAGTTTTCAGATTCTGCCATTCTTCGCACAGGCGTTCTGACATAGTTCCCACGACGTGGTATGGCTGTGGTCCCGGGCCCAGGTGCTCCTGAACCCCCTGCAAACCCTTGGAGCCCTGGTGTTTCCGGGCGCCGCATACAATCCTTGTCAGGGTCCATAAGGTTTCGGGGCTTCGAGAGCCAGACTATAAACTTAAGTGCAGCTGCTGTGAGTATTCTGCAGCCTCATCGCCGGCTGCATTCGAAACTCCGTTTAAAGACCCTACATGTGCGTGAACATGTCCTAGTGTAGCTAGCAGGTTAATCGTGACGGCTGCGAATCCACGACCATCGCGTCAGAGTCCGGGCCTGCCATCCTCTCCGAAGCAGCCTCCGGAGAAGGAAGATCGGCGCCTTTGGCAACCGCATCCACTCCCCTAGGCAAAGTGTGTAGAGAAGTTTCCAAGCGGCGCCTTTTGCTGCTGTCCTTCATGTCCGACGCCGGCTGCAGAAGAAGGGGGTGGTCCTTAAGGAGGCCCACAGTCACCGCAGCCAGCAAGGTCTCAACAACACCGGCGTTCTTAACCTGCGCCTCCGATCGGTTGGTGATGGCCGCGAGGAGGGTCGCCACACCTTCTATGACGAGATCCTCCGGGTAGTAAACAGGAATCGGAAGGGGAGCTAGTGGAATGAGATCTTTACGATGCTCTGTGTTGTCTCTGTAAGGTGTAGCCAGTTCACCAATGCAAGGTAAAGATCCAATTGGGCTCGAAGTGCATTCTATTCGCCATACGAAGTTTTCTGTGGACGCTTCCTCGCGGATGGATTTCTGTCCCTGTCTCTCCAGCCACGCGCAGTCAATCAGGCAGCACGACCCGCCCAGCAGCCAAGCTCGTCAAAAAGTCAAGGGAGCTCCGGAAGAAAGCGGGCCATTGTAGAGAACCCTGAAGAATAGATTCCTTAAGAAAATTCCCGCAGTTGTCTCAGGTAAGATGCTTAGGCTTGGCTTGGAATACAAGAATCTCATATAAGCTTTCCAGGGCTTAGCATAGGTCCATGGCGAATCGCCACGGTTTCGTCCTTTGATTTCTCGTGGCACATCCTGCCCAGGAGGCATCAGGCGCGCTTTGCTGTGCCATGTTTGTTGCTGCTTTCCCGTGCTACATCGTGTGGGTAGGCGTCCTTCCGTTTCTCAGTGCAGAGTAACAGCTAGGTCCCAAGTACCGAGTGTCTCGTGCATGGGAAACGTCAGACATGTTTCATGATGCCTGCGCCCTGCTCGTCACGACCTCGATTGACTGTGGCCTGTGAGGACAGCCCGGTGACGTCTTCATTCCAACGCTGACTCGAGTCACTTCGGACTTTTATAGGTCTTCAGGCTTTACAGGACCGTTTTGGCACGAGCGGCCTGAGCCATCCCGAGCCGCAAGGAATGCGGCAAAAGTCTTATCTCAGCCGTTGCACTACGCTTGCGAACCCTTCCATAGCTGGATGGGCTGTATGCCACTCAGGGCACTACGAGAGCTGACGAGGGACATAGCTCACGGCCGAGAGAGACCAAACTAAACGTCATGCCTGCAGTATACCTGCATTGTCATGATTGGCTGCTTCAAAGTGCAGCCAGGAAAATGATACCCTTTTCATACACGGGCTCCATGGAAACCGCAGAACTAGCAAACGTAGGATGGCGGGATGTTGTCATGTCTCACCGATCATGTCGTATCGGTATCCGTGTCCGGCAAAGATTAGCAAGGGGGCGCGGTTGCTACCGCGGACGGAGCAGCCAACAGTTGGCATGCCTTCGCGCCTGCTGGTGAGTGCAAAACGCATTCTACCTTTTCCCCCTTCGCCCCTCTGTTTGCCTGCTGCTCCGAGTTGGTGGAGCAAGTTGGGCCAAGGATTTGTGGGACATTATCCTGTGGCATGGCCTCTCTGCGATTGAGTGCTCGCCAACACATTGCGGCCATTTTGCCACGGCTTCGAGCGCAAAAGGGTGGCATCTGGAAACATATTGAAAATCACTGAAGGCTTCCTGGTACGTCTTAATTACTACTTACAGTCTGGGGATCGCGAAGCAAAGGCGCCGAAGAAGCGGATCGAAGCACTTGTAAATCCACCAAAGATCCCCGAGTAGCATCACAAAAGGGAGTGCGAGGGCGCCGTATGGGCACGCCGATTCTGCAAATGTGTGTGTCGGAGCTGGAACAGGAAGGAGGTGAGCGCCTGGTTATTCCCTTTTACGTTCTAACCGGGATGGCAGACCTCGTCTCGTCTTGGATTGCGAAGCATTCTCCACCACCCCACTCCATCCGGGGTGGACAGTTTCGCAGCAAGAATCGTTTCAGCGGATGCTCGTGTCGTGTCACAGTCACGTGCAGGAAGCTCAACAAGCGTGCTTTGAAGTGCCATGGCTGTTGCTTCCTTCCCGCGCTGATGCTTCGTCTTGGTAGGTGTCGTTCCCGTTCTCAGTGCAGATTAACAGCTAGTGTGATTGGGAAGGGTCAGACATTTTGCTCGTCACGGCCTCGCCTAATCGTGGCGTGTATAAGGATAGTCCGGTGACCTCACCCCAACTACAAAACTGAGCCGACACACATCCGACTCTTAGGTTTTCAGACTTCGCGTATCTGCATTGGCTTTCCATATCAAGGCTTACAAAACGGATGGCACGAGCAGGCCGAGCAACAAAGCCACAGCAGGGAGTCTTGTGACTCGAGGCAGCATCGCGGGCTCAGAGCCTTCCATAGCGGGATGGGCGGCATGGGCTGCTGTACGCCAGTCATGACGGTACGAGAGCTTGTACGTGAGGGACACAGCTGACGTTCGAGAGAGACCAAACTCGAGCGATGTCATGACTGGCGGCCGGCATGCATGTAGGAAGATGGGCCGCTCTTCCTGTACCGGCCCTGTGGGAAAAGTCGTGGTGGTTGAGTGCAAGGAGGAGGTGCAACAGCGGAGTTGATGCAGACGGATTCGTCGTTGTAGCCTGCCTTTGCCTATCTCACAGGCTGGCTTGAGATGCCCGTTGAGATGCCTTTCGCGGAGCCTGCACTTCACAGCATTTCCCCAGACGTCACAAGAAAAGCGACGTAATTTCATGCCTTGCATGCCCGTGCCTTGCCAGAACCTCCAGACGGCGACTACAGCAGGGATCAGCATTGACAGAGCCTATGTAGCGAGCTCGGCAGCCCACCTCGAGCTTTTGGTCTAGTGGTGACGTGACGCAGAGCCTGCAGCCAGGTGGTACAGGCCGCCAGTGCCTCCGTGATCAAATTTAGCAAGTCGGGTAGCATTGCCTCCACGAGGTTCAGCATGCCACGCAGGGAGAATGCGAAGCGGGCGAGCACCGCGCCGCGAAAGCAAAGCAGCTTCCGCGGCTTCGCAGTCCGCTTAAAACTGCGTCGCTTCGAACACATCTCCATTGTTCCCGAATCTGTTGAACTTGACTTTGTTGATTGCAGGCTTGTCTCTGCTATCTGAACTCCATGCGGCTTACACGGCTGCAAGAAGGCGTGGTGGTCACGCCATGCGGAGCATGTGCTGCATGCCAGCATGTCCGGAAGTCATGCTTCTGTTTCGGACCTGTTGAGGCCATTGCGGCCGAATCATACGCGCACAGCACAGCAACGACAACGACGGAGCTAGTCGTACCCAATCGAGCCATGCTGAACCTGCGAGCTGTCTGGGTAAGCTGTGAGGTAGCTGTGCGATGTGATTCTCTTGCAAAGGCAACAATATGGTTTCGTGACTGCTCGTGACTGAAGCTGACCCTTTTCCGTACATTTTTCCGGCGGATCAGCTGTGCAGCAGCTGTTGAGAGCTAATACAAGGTTTAAGGTCTCCGCGCTTCGCAGCTAGGGCTGCTCGTGCCATTCAGCCGTTGCCCTGCGTAGCGGTTCGAAGTGGAATCAACATGATCGAGGGCTGATGTGCGTGGCTGATGGGTTCAAGAGACCAAACTCAAGGTGATGGCATGACTCACGGCATGACGGCATCATCAGCTTCGAACCAGGAAGATGATCCGCTGTTCCTATACTGCACCGGATTTGTGGGTGAAGTGGTGGAGTGCATGTACAATCCGCAACATCGGATTGAGACGTCCGTTGCGATGCGTTGACGGAGCCTCGACTTCGCAGCAACCTTGACAGGGCACCGTGCCGCAGAGCCATCTTTAAATTTGCCAAAAGCTCGAATACCACAGTAGTCAATCCAGGCACCCTGAAACTTTCAATTCGAGGCCATGAGCCGAAAGAGCAGCTCAACTCCAAGTGCTTGGTCGAAGCTACCAGAAACAAGGGTCTTGGGTGTGTGTTGGCACCTGATCCCTGCAAAACAGGCACCTTTCACTTTCACCTTTCCCCAGACCCCTCCTCCTTGAAGCTTGGCGAAAGAGATGTTTTGAAGTCCATGAGACGCTCGGAATCTCTGATCCTTCATGGCAACATTGGGCTGCCTTCAACGAGCCCCGTAAGGCAGAGGGACAGCCAGCAAACTGCCCAACGAGTTGCACAAGGCGTTTCAAGCAGGCGGTGCCCAAGCACGGCCCACATAGGAAGGTTGCAACTCCTCGAACTTCCGCAAAAGTTTGCAATCTTGAGTCTTGAGATGGGAGCCATTGCTGCCGTCGCGAAACAGATTGCCCCAACAGTTCTCACTCAGAACTTCAGGGAGATTGTGGGACTTAGGTACATATATTCAGAGGCTTCAGTTGCCATGGACTTCTTCACTTGGGCTGATCTGAAGATCTCAGTTCGGGATGCAAACGCCGTTTCTGATTTCTTCTTGCATCGAATTTGGGGTTTGGGGGTTTTCTGTTGGTAGTTCAGGCATTTGTTGCAGGATCTCTTCTCCAAGTCTTCAGATGGACCCAAAAATCGGCTCCGCTGTGTTGCGGCGCCAAGTAGGGTTTGGGGACATGAGGTTCCGGATGCATTGCATCTAGGGTTCGTTGGTAGCAATGGAAGACATGGGATCGAACGCTCTTCAAATCAACCTGTCGTAAAGTATCGGAAGATGCTAAAAATGATGATGCTGGCGGTGGTGGCGATATGTGCTGCTGATCTCCGTATGAAACATCGCGTGCATCATGACCACAGGCCCCGTCATGTCGTCATCCTCATCACCACCATCATCTGCTTGATCATCATCGTCAACATCATAGCCACAGTTTTCATCACTGAATCATCACCAAGTTGTGATCCTCGCACCCTCGTCTTGATCCGCATTGTCATCCTTGGCCTAGTGCTTCGCACTGCGTACTACCTCCTACTGTGCAAAAACTTCTGCTACCGCGTCATCTCCCGACCACTCTACTGCCACTGCTACTGATGCTGCTGCTGCTGCTGCTGCTGCGACGACGACGACGCCGATGACGACGACCACTCACTGCCACTACCACTACCGCCACTGCCCCGCTGCGACTGTCGCTGCTTCAAGTGTCAATATTTCCACTGTCAGTCTTCTTTTCGTCTTGAAACTAATGCGACGACCACCACACCGATGCTTTACCAGCGGCAACAACCATGTGAGGGAAACATCGGGCTGGTCTCGCCGCAGCCCTCTATAAGGGTCGAGCTAGATCAAGGTGATGGCTTCGTGGCATGACTCAGGGGTTGGATTCCACGAAGATGCAAGGGGGGTTTCAATTCGTCCATGCCCACATAGATGTCGGTCAGGATATAACTGAAATGGCAGTGTTGTCGCCTTGCTTTTGAGCCTATGTTCAAGGGCTTGCGAGGTAAGTTTGGACCATATCTTGGTAGCTTTGTGCCGCAATGTGTCCGTGTGCAATGGGGGATGGCCTCCAGTGGGCGATGGTGAAGATCATGCTGGCTAACAGGCCAGCCCAGGTGTTAGATGCCATGTGAGTGAAGTGTAGCTGCGTTGTAGTGAGCCTGTTGATCCCAGCTTCTCAGTTTCGTAGACGATCTCCATACCAGTTGTGAACAAACTTTGCTTACATGCCTGAGTTTTCGATAGACTTTTGAGGCTGAGCTACCGCGATTGATGGCTGGATGGCTGGGGTCGGCAGCCACCGAACTCGTGCTGACCTTGAACACAGACGCCAGCACTTTGTGCCTGGAAAAGGGGTGGCATTTGAGCGTGATGAGCGGCCGTGCTTTGGCTGGCAGCCTCTCTGAGTCTGTCCTGCTTCCTTTGCGCAGCTCGGAGAACAACATCTCGATGATCTCGCATATACAACAAACGAGGGCCGATGTTGTTTGCAGTGCTTTCTCTCGCGGTTCATCCGCTGGTGGCTGTCAGTGAGCCTGGAGTAATTTCCAGTAAAATATGAGGACGAGCACAAGTACAGTATCTTCTTTAGTGATGTCTACAACGGCTGCCTGAGAGTATTTAAGTGCGGGTTGCTGAGTCTTCTGCCATCGACCGCCCTTGCTGTAAGTGCCTTGTCTCCTTCGGGGAGCTCGGCAAAGAGGAATCGGCCAGCATGAAGCCCTTCGATGCGTGGCTGCCCATACCTTCCCGAGTGGCTGCTCTGGCTTGGCAATGGTCCGAACTGCTCACTGCCAGATCCCCGGCATCTGTACTCTCCGTGCTCTCCGTGCATGCCGGCGGTTGACGAGCAGCTGAAGAGGACAGGTTGTTGTCGACTTCGCTTCTCCACGACACGCCTTGGCAGAAGAGGCAACCGGCCCGCCGGAAGTTGCACAGGGCGATCTGCGTGGACCAGGATACAGCTTCTGCTTCAGGTTCGATTGAGTATTGGGATGCAGGGCTGTTGAACTTACTCTTCTGTTGACGGCTTTTTCATTCCGTCAGGAGCTCTTCTGGGTTCCTGGGACACTCCAAGCAGAGGCTTGCCGGGAGCTGATTTCAAAGGTTTGCGAAAGGAGGGCTCCTTTCAAGAAGGGATATATAGCTCCTTTCACGACGATATAGTCCGCCATCCAGGTCTAGAGCATCCGGAGTTTTCGAGAATGTTTTGGCCTGCGATTTCGAGTCTGCGCGTTCGGGGATCCGAGTGCTGCGCGCAGAGGTCACAGCATTCTGCCCTTGCTGAGGAATCCAGCGTTTAGGGTGGTGGGGTTTGATACTTCGGTCAAGCCTGGCTCGTTCTTTACGTAGAGACTCTTCCGAGAGATGCGGCTTTGCGTCTTAGGTGTTGGTCACTACTGGCTCGTGTGTTGGCTCCTGCTACACTTAGCTTATTCAAGCAGCCCGCTGCATGCCACCTAAACTCGACGGCCGTGTGGCTTCTCGCAACTCAATACATCGAAAGGACCCGACTCCAAGAGTTCGGAGTTGGTTTGAACAGGAAATTCTTCTGCTGCTACCTGCACAGCGGTCACCTAGATCTGTCGCCATAGTCTCAAATCCGGCATCCCTTCAGACATGCACAAAAATCAGATTATAGCCTGGTGAGGAGAACATGGTGGATGTGCGCGCCTTGGCGGATCCTGGAACGGATCCTGGAACGGATCCTTGTCGGAATGGAAGACCAGGGCAGGCTAAGAGTCTATGAGTCCCCGAAAACAGTTCAAGTCTTTCGACAACCTGACGTCGAGTCTGGCTTCTTCGTGTATCTTCTTTTATCGGATCCCCTCAATCAACCGAGGTTTAACGCTTCAATCGCATGTGAAGCTTCCCCATATGGCCACAAGACCTTTCTTGGTGCATTGGATCTGGATAAACACTTGGGAAACGCTGCGAGACTGTCTCACAAACCAGACTGCTTTAGTGTCACTAGCAAGAGTTAGAGGCCCACTTGAGGTAATGAGCCTTCAGTTCCTGAAGTCCAAGATGCAGTGCTAGTCCTATCAGATTTTCAGCTGCAACCTCTCCGACCCTACAGCAGAATTCCCCGAGCAGGTCTCGCAGCATTCTCCACTTCAAGAGAAAAGACTTGAGTAAGAGCCCCAACGCTAGAGGGGTCTCGGCGGACGTGGGAGTTAGCACTTCTCTTCTAATGGTCAACCGAACCCCTGAAAGCCCGAAAATCGCCAGGGCCGAAGATCGTGAAAGTATCAGCTCGAAGCCCTGGGGCCTCGAACGACAGAATCGCACGAGCCCGGAGAAGCAGTGGAATTCAGGTCGTTATAGCTCCATCGACTCATAGAGTTAAGAAAATACCAAGCGCCGTGCAACACAACACAAGGTACCAATGTCACACGATATGGTAGGGCCTCATAGCCTTCATA